GTCGACATATTCAAACATGATAAGTTTAGTGAGTGAACTCTATTTTATACAATTGCTTTCACTATAAGTGATCATAAACTTCTGATAACGTATATTTTGTACTAATACCTAGTATTTAGAATGGTTGATTATATATAATATATTAATTACTTACAGGAAAATTGTCATGAGGAGATCTTAGATCGTGAACAAAGAACGATCGGAAAATTTCATGGATGAAATTGAAAGGGATGCAGAGATAAGTGGAATCTCCATCTTCTTTTCTTCCATCTCTCTCCATATTTCTCTTTTTCTTTCTTCTAATTGTGCTTAGAAGATCGGCTAATCGGGTCATTAATATAGTTCAAATTCACTCATACTTTCTTCTTGGTCAACTTTCAGCCTTTACGTTAATCATTATGTATATATGATTAATGATAAATCTAATGTAACAGCTCATCGGTCGCATTCTGTTCGACTGCTCCTATAAGTGCGCATGCATGTTGCCCGTTTGTGATTTGTTTACGTATTAGTGTAGACAATTTGAAAGAGAATATAAGCCAACACATGCATATTAATATTTCTTATTCTATCTATCAACGTCTATTATTGAAAGTTTTACTCACATTTAACAATTAATTAGGTCAAAACTTCCAGGTAACAAGTACCAACACGAAGTTGACTATTGAACGAAATAATTGGGTGTGTGCTTATTGTGTAACATGTACAATAATAAGATATACAGAGATGTTTTATAGTAAGTAAAATAATGCGTTATTATAATCATCGTGAAATGATTGTAATCGTTCTAATCAAAATTATACCAAGAATTATGAGTTTAATTAATATATGACCCACAACAACGATCATTATCTATTTATATGTTTATCAAATTTTAACTTATACGTCCATGAACTAAAACCAGTTAATAGTGTCAACACTTTCATATAAGAGTTTGATATGATTAAATCTTGTTTTTTTATATCAATTTTTTTATTTTTCTCTCGAGTACCATCCGTTATTGACTATAGTTCGTTACCGCAAATGCTTCAAGATAGATAAAAACAAAAAGTTGATATAGAAGAGTTTAAAATGTTATAAAAATGTGTGGAAGGGTTTTCATAATTATTTTCACCAGATGCGTACACCCACAGGCCACAACTTCTTTTCGATCAACATGGTATTTACGAAAAGTTACAAGAGAATCAATCAATCCTTAGTTAGTTAATTAGTTGCGTCGGCCTGGTTTTCCAGAGCTAGGTTGCTCTCTCACATTTTTCTTTGATTTGACGATTACACTCCTTGTTGACACAACATCATCATTTGTAGTCTCCTCCTGCATTTGTAAACTTCTATATTTAAAAGCTCATCATATTATTTCTCAAAATGAGATAGTCCATCAAATCGATAATATGAAACAAAAAGAAATATTGAACCGAATGAATTAAAATAATTCAGTTTAACATTTAGCTTTTATATACTTCTAAAGAAACAATGTAAAATTTAAATATATGAATCGAAACTGAACATCTCAAAATACATATGCACATGCATGTGAATATAAAGTTATATACAATATATGCATAAGCATAATATAGACCTTCTCCTTAACTTTCTCTCACGATGGCTTTGCTAACAAATGCTTACCAAAGATGCCGAAGAAATTGAAGGAGAAGGAGAGATATGAAGACCAAGACACTTTAGGAAGGTCTTGAAGGCTTCGTTAAAGAATTGAGGAATCGAAAGATGAGAGCTTTCTTCTTCGTTTCGTCTCTCTTCCTCCATCGAGATCCACAGGTGTCTTTTGTTTTGGTCTCAAATGTCTTCGAATGTTCTTCCTAACTCGGTATTAGACCATCCACATTGCACATAAAATGTAGATGTCTCTAAATAAAAAAATATTAAAAACACACTCTCTCTTCCTTTTACTCAATTTTATACCTTCTCTTTCATCTTTTTACTCAACTTTTATTAATTTTATATTTAAACACACTCCAACTTTCATCCATTCTCTCTCCAACTTTGTCTTCTCATACATCCCAAAAGACATCCTCTCTCCAATAATACCCACTATCTCATCTCTTTACTCAAATTTTATTAATTTTATATTTCAATACACCCCATTATTTCAACCAAAANCACTNTNTTTCTTNCTTTTANTNAACTTTTAATAATTTTATATTTAAAGACACCTACAAAATATAACCAATGCGGATGCTCTTAGGTGTCCATCGGTCCAAATATTAAAATTATGGTAATACTGTCTCTAAGCTTTTACATATTTCTTCGTTTTTAAAAATTCCCACAACTTTTCAATTAATGCATTATTGGTGACTTTCTTGAATTTTCAATTCATCTATTTATAATATATGTATAAAAAATGAATTCAGCACAAGTAAAGCATGTGGGATGACTTTTACTACAATAATTTAATCTTTGGAGATAAGCCTTACAAAAAGTATGTTGAGATTTTAAGTTTCATTTTCTGATCGGTTGTGTGATCTATAATACGATGATCAACCTGACCCATATTTGTTTGTCCTAGGGTTTTTGCTTATTATTAAAATCAATGTTGCTGTTTCTCATTGTTGAAAAGCGAAGGGCGAAAAGAGAAAAACAAACTTTTTGATTTTTATCTTACTGAAAAGTGAAACCAAAACGAAACCACAATACTTTTGTCTTTTAACAAGATTCTCAAATGTTTAATCGTTTTGACAAAATGCGAATGAATCATCATCATTAGTCAAATATTTGCCCTCTCTTTTGAGCATTGAACAAATGCGCCATTAGCAAGTTACTTTTATTTTTGTCGCATTAACGAGTCACTTGTAAGTTTGCATTTGTCTAAATGTATATCCTTGAATTAAATATCACTTTCTTCTTGAAATATCATTAATTCACTCATTAACATTACCAGCTATGAGATTTTCAAAGTTTCAAAAAAAAAAAACTATGGGATTTTCCTTTTTTTAACCAAAATAATGTCACCCAAGAGCCAGGAAAAGCATGTGATAATATCCTTTTTATTGAGCGTAAATCTTTCTATTCCAAACAAATGTCGAAATTGGGAGTGCAAAATTCAACCTCTTTTAGAGGAACCAAGCCGAACCACCAAAATAACATTTGCTTAGCTATTATTATATACAAAGTTTCCAGAAATAGCTATTATTATATACAAAGTTTCCACCGGAACTTCCTGATAATTAAAAAAAAAAAGTTTCCACCGGAAAATAATCTCGGAAAAACAATCAAACCACCAAAAGTATCTTAGAACATAAAAAATTTCAAATCTTTTCTTGGTGAAGATTTGTAAATCAAACTAAGAAATCAAGCCATGAAAGTATTCAGAGGAAAAACTTAACATCTCAAATGTTAAGCTTCTTGGTGAAGGTTTTGATTTAGTAGTCACTGGTCTCTTGAAATTTTCTTAGGAAAATAATTGGTTTGATTGTTATCTCGAGTCCATGATTGGGCTTAATATCGTCAAAGTGTCCATGATTGAAAGCCCAATTATGACTTTGAACCAAAAATGAAAAAACAAANAAGGAATGTTGACAGTGGGATTTGAACCCACGCCCTTTCGGACCAGAACCTTAATCTGGCGCCTTAGACCAACTCGGCCATATCAACTTGTTGTTTTACTTAAAATATGTTTTGTATAT